CTTTGTGTTAGAAATTCTGTATATAGCTCTACAGAACAGACAGTCCACATGTGCAGTGCTTTTCTGTTCACTGCAACAAGGAAGCATGATACTTTATCATAGTATACCATAAATGCAGCTACAAACTTATAAACACTGCCATCTACTGGTTGAAGAATATATCTCTACTGAATACTGATGTAGTTGTTGCACAAAATACATGAACACAGTATTCCAACATCCCCACTCAACAACTACTCTTTTATTAGTCCCATATCAGATCTCAGTTCTATAAATCATTCTTATGGGTTGGAAGTCCCTGTACCTCATCCCATGAATCTGGGTCTGGTTTTAATGCTACACGAGCAACATAGGCCAAACGTGTGGCTGGGATGATTTTATTGCTTCTGATGGATTTCATGATTGAAGCCTCTTATGGCCTAGTTTCTTCATTTACAGTATTTGGATTGTCTGCGTTAATTTCTATTTCTGTGTCACTTTGTTTCTAATCTTCATGCGACACTGATGTGGAATTTCCCTCAGTTTGATGCATTTATATTATTCATGACATTTTAAACACACTGAAGTTTCATCGACAATTACAGATCTACTGATGGTTACCTTGTCTTCTTGTAGAATTCTTTATCCCTTTTGAGATTAACTGTATCCCACAAGTGCATCATTCTTTGCATAGGCATCCCATTTTGTATATTTTTCTTTTAGAATATGCACATAGGCTTTGCCTCCAAAAATTTTTAGATTGTTCAAATTCGGGGGCCTTTCTACTCCACAGTTCATATGGAGTTTTCTGGTAGTTGATTTTGGAGATAGCATAATTGCCTCCCCCCAGTATGCCATTGGCATATCTGCATCAAACAGCATGGTTCTTCCACACTCACATAGAGTACGGTCCATTCTTTCTGCAACCCCGTTTTGTTCTGGGTTGTATGGTAAAGTAGTTTGAAATATTATGCCAAGCCTTCTGAGAAACGCCTGTGTGTTATCACCTGTATATTCATTTGCATTGTTTGTGCACAATACACTCGGCATTTACTATTCAACTTTCTCTGGTACTTCACTTTTGTTTTTTAACAGATATAGTGTAGTATACCTGGAGTAATCGTCTATAAAAGCGAGAAAATACTTCTTCATTCCAAAGTCAATTTTTCCATTGGTCTGCAAAGATCTTAATGGAGTCCAGAGGTTTTTTTAGCACTGCTGTTACTCTGCTTTGGAAAGGCTTTTCTTGTCATTTTTCCTTTTATAGAGCTGGTGCATTTCATTGTTTGATCACATTACCAAATGTTTATTCCACTTGCATAGACCTTCTCAATTAATTTCTTTATTATGTCAGGACTTCAGTGCTATGTGTGAATGTAGTTTGAATGATATTCCTCCTTGGCAGTATTAACCACCTCATTGCAGTTCAGCTGTTCAGTTCATCTGTATAATAATAATCTGTAATTTTAGCCTTTGCAAGTAGGATATCCCCTTTTGTGTTGACACAACTGTCATCTTGGAAGGTCATTACATTGCCTTGTTTTGTGAGCTTCTTCACTGATAAAATATTTGCTTCAAAAGCAGGGACATACAGGCCATTTTTCACAGGTATCTTTCTGGTGACATTCTGGGAAATAGGACAGTAAAGAAAACTCTCTCCTATTCCTTCTGATTCCATTATTTGTTCATTAGCTGTGGTGATTTTTTTCTGTTTTACTCTGGTCAAAGTGATTAAAGAAATTTCTGTAATTAGTAATGTGACTTGCAGCTCCTGAATCAACATACCATGCTTGCAAAGATAAGGTGCAACTTTTGGATTGAAAAACATTATCTGAAGAACAATCAGTTTCTTCCTTCACACCATTGGCCTTTTGTAGTTTAGTTTACTTTTGCATTTTAGCTTTCCAGACTCTGCAATCTGCTTTTAAATTGCATTTTTTCTTGCACACAAAACATTTGTGTTTCTTGTTGCATGTTACTATTTTTATTCCTATTTTTCGCTTTTAAAGCGGACCCTATGACAGAAGCACTTTCAGTATTAATACTTTCTGTTTTACGCTTATATTCCGCATAAACTAAAGCTTGCCTTTAACATATTCCATTATCAGTTCATCATCTGGATGTGCATCAAGTGGCGTGACAACCGTTTCATAACTTTCTGGTACACCACCAAGTAATAGTGCTGCAACATTAAAACTTTTTATTTCCTCTCCTATACCTCTCTTGTGTTCAACCATTTTCAAGGTGTGCCTTATGTAATTTTTACAGGTTTAGGATTAAATTATAGATGGGATATAGATCTTTTTCTCAAATAACAATTTGGTTATCTTTTTATTATTTCTATTCCATCTATATGCAACAGGTTGTTTTTGTGAACTGTGTTCTGCAGTCTGTAAATGCCTTTCTATAATATTACATCATCATTTACACAGTTTTAATGAGTTTATCTGTCAGAAAGTTGTTGTTGTTTGTGTGTGTGTGTTTTTTTTTTCTAATCCATCTCCTTCTTTATTTTACAAAAGTTTGAGCTTTGCCCCCTTCTCTTATATACACATATTTGTGCTGCATAGCAATTATTATCTTTATTATACATCATAGATAAGTACCCTGCTCATGATATTTCTACCCGGAATGTACAGCTATATTTTTGTATATTCTATTTTTACTTTTTTCATATACTGTCATTTTTGTTATCTTATATATCTTATATGTCTTTTGCTGTTTTCCTCCCATCTGCAAGTGACATCCAAGACACCTAATGGATAATGGACTCATTAATCTAATTGATGGTGCAATGTGCAGTGGGAGGAGGTTTTACAGAGATTTGTCTTTGTGCCTAGTATTTAAATATATTCTAAGTTGTTCTGTGGCTATGAATAAGGTTTTTTACCAAAACGAGTAAGCTCCTATAGCTTGCACACTGTACCCTTTATGAATAAAGTACTTTTATCGGGAGGATGAGTTGCTGGCTCTTCATTTTTAACTCCTATACTGTTTAAAGTGCCAGGAAGACACTGTGAGCTTTGAAGCATCATTGGTCTACCCCCAGTTAAAATCAACCTAGGCACACATTTTCATTTGTGCCTTATGTAATCCTGAATATCCTGCCCTTTCATCAGCTTGGTTTGGTGTAGCTTTCTAATCAAATACAGCTTATTGCTGAGATTAGCTATTTCATGCACCTTTTGCAATCCTTCCCACATTTCTTTAGCAGTTCCAGACCTACACATATGTATGAGTTGATCACCTTTTAAATTAGAAGAGAGATTGTGCTCTGAGCTTTTTGATCTTTCTCTATCCACTCATCTGAAGGGTGTTCTGCCCTGACTTAATTTTTAAATGTCCACATACCTTCCCTTATTAGTAGCATTTTCTTCTTGAATTTCCAAGACTGGTAGTTCTGGTTTGTCAGGTTTACAAATGAAAGCTTTGTTGTAGCTGTGTTACTGACCATTTTCTTTATCCTGTTGCAGTCTTCTTTCTGTTGCTGTATTTTACACTTATTTGCTGTAGCCAGCTATGACAGGGCCCATAACCTGTTAGAAATTCTGTATATAGCCCTACAAAACAGACAGTGCACATTTCACATGAGCTTTTCTGCTTCACTGCACCAAGGAAGCAGGAAACATTATTCAGAGAAAAGACCGCGCATACCATAAATGCATCTACAAACTTATAAACCCTGCCATCTACTGGTTGAGGAATATATCTCTACTGAATACTGATGTATACTATATTGCCAAAAATATTAACTTTAATGGCATCCCAGTCTTAGTCCGTAGGGTTATATATGGAGTTGGCCCATCATTTGCAGCTATAACAGCTTCAACTCTTCTGGGAAGGCTGTCCACAAGGTTTAGGAGTGTGTCTATGGGAATGTTTGACCATTCTTCCAGAAGCGCAGTTGTGAGGTCAGGCACTAATGTCGGATGAGGAGGCTTGGCTCACAGTCTCCTCTCTAATTCATCCCAAAGGTGTTCTATCAGGTCGAGGTCAGGACTCTGTGCAGGCCAGTCAAGTTTCTCCAGCTCAAACTCGCTCATCCATGCCTTTATGAACCTTGTTTTGTGCACTGGTGCGCAGTCATGTTGTAACAGGAAGGGGCCATCCCCATACTGTTCCCACAACGTTGGGAGCATGAAATTGTCCAAAATGCCTTGATATGCTGACCCCACACCATAATCCCCCTCCACCAAACTTTACAGTTGGCACAATGCAGTCAGGCAAGTATCGCTCTCCTGGCAACAGAAAAAAATAGAGATATCCCCCTGGGATTTTGTATGGCAAAAACACGAGTATACAAAGGTATAAAATGGTAAATGTTTATTACATAATATTGTTTCAATTAAATGAATCAGACGATTCAATAAAATTGGACTAAAATACAATGGTGCATATCTCACATACAAAAAGCATATAAAATGTGCAAGGGACCTGACCGTCTGTAAAACATCAACTGACAAGTGGACTAACAACCCAAAAGAGCTTGAACAATTGTATTATCAAGACAAATCCAATGCATTTCGGAACTCATGATTCCTTCTTTAGGGAATAAATATGTCAGGTCTATTACATAACAAAATGTCAAATAAATAAAAACAACAAAACACACACCATCAGTTTTGGAAAAGGCTGGTTACTCATACACTTACTTTTAATTTGCACCACATGGAATAATGGTTGACAAGTATTTATACAGGATTAGATGAGGATACTTTCCCATTGACAAACTCTGGAGAGGACAGGCAAGGACGCCCCAATAAATCATCTATCAGCAAGGACCACACTGAAGCAGCCAGTGAGAGGATCTATAGAATGTAATAAAAGCCACAAATAGTAAAAAGAATCCACTGTTTGTAATTTACCACAGAAGAGTAATCAAATATATGGCCCAAAGGCATAAGTATACAATAGAATGGTCTATAGCCTGGTGCCTGGCAACCACCAAACCCAGACACATCCATCAGATTGCCAGACAGAGAAGGGTGATTCGCCACTCCAGAGAACACATCTCCACTGCTCTAGAGTCCAGTGGCAATGTGCTTTACACCACTGCATCTGACGCTTTGCATTGCACATGGTGATGTAAGGCTTGGATACAGCTGCTTGGCCATGGAAACCCATTCCATGAAGCTCTCTATGCACTGTTGTGCTAATCTGAAGGCCACACGAAGTTTGGAGATCTTTAGCTATTGGCTCTGCAGACAGTTAGCGACCTCTGCACACTGTGCGCTTCAGCATGCGCTGACCCCACTCTGTCATTTTACAAGGCCTACCACTTCATGGCTTTGTTGCTGTTATTCCCAGTTGCTTCCACTTTGTTATAATACCACTAACAGTTGACTGTGGAATATTTAGTAGCAAGGAAATTTCACGGATGGACCTATTACACAGGTGGCAACCTATCATGGTACCATGCCTGAATTCACTGAGCTCCTGAGAGCAACCCATTCTTTCACAAATGTTTGTAGAATCAGTCTACAGTACATGCCTGGTGCTTAATTTTATACACCTGTGCCCATGGAGGTGATTGGAATACCTAATCCCAATGATTTGAAGGGGTGTTCCAATACTTTTGGCAATAAAGTGTAGTTGTTGCACAAAATACATGAACATTATATTACAACACATTGCTTATGTCTCTGATTTGGCTACATTTTGTCTCTGAGTGCCTGCTTGGCTGTCACCCATATCAGATTCATTCATCATAGTATGTTCATGTTTTCAGTCTGCTGGGGGCTCTCACAAGCCTTATGCCCTGAACCTTCGGTTCATGCAATGTGCTCTTTTGACCTCAGCTGGCTTATTCTGTATGGCTGCTGCTCCTGACCTGATGTCCTGCCAGACTGTTCCAGACAGCATCTCCTACTAAAAGCTCAGCCATTAACATCTGCTGGCACTCATATCCATTCTGTCCCTTGGAACCATGTGTTCCATCTTCAGTTGTGTTGGGCTGATGAAGCCAACCTCATCATCTCAGTCTCCTATCAGGTACTTGACAATAATAATGAACATGCTCGGTGGGCCACAACTACTTTGTCCATATAGATGTGCCACCCATAATTTCATTCCCTGTACACATGGTGGAACTTAGCACAGGTAGCAATCCCCTCTGAGTACCCAATGATGTTTGGGTACCCGCAAGTGTTCCCAGATGTCAGTCTTATACCACTGTTTCTAACACCCCGAAAACAGCCTCTAGGACATGAGAGAACTCCAGACCACAGAGCTACGACATGTCCTGAATCATGCGGTGCTGTAGCTGCGAAAACCGCATTAGGACGGGCCTCTGCCCTAGAGGAAGATGAGCAGGTGTACATTGGTGGGAGCTTAATCATACTGGCATTAGGGGAGCCTCAACCCCGTTGTCTATGGGGGAGCCCTGGTGAGGAACATCCTCCTTCTGCACCACCAAGCCTGGAGAGCCCAGGTGGCGATCTGCCGCTGACTTAGCTGATGCGTTGACACACTAGTCTACACTACTTGCTTTGGAGCATCATCCTGCCAGGGTACCAGCCATTCACATGGCGACCCAAGGAGTCAGAGCAGAGGTTAGGCCTCCAGACAGACAGAACAGGGTCACACAACACACACACACACCAACCTCTTTCTTGGCATCACCCACAAGCCAGTATCCAGTGAGATGTCTTGGATGCTTGGCATGGTAAAGTGGGGCCAAGCCACCTGTGCTGCTGCACACCTGTAACTTTGTATAATAGGAAAACAGTTCCTCCATTCCACACTGCTCAATGGCTCAGACATGTCTGCTGCAACTTCCTTCAAGTCTCTCCCACCGCTCTCCTCCTAGAACTTTGGACCAATCCCCAGTCACAGTATGTGTGAGACCTGGACACATACTGATTCAGTGCCTAAAAAACACTGAAACTCTGAACCAGAATCTCTGCCCACACAGGTAGACAGGTGTTGCATGCAGGCAGTCCCATTCATATCTATTGCGACACGGCGGCTACACAGACTCAGCCGTTGGTCCCAATTAGACAGCTGTGCAGGTATGGGTTTGTGTGCCTGAATGCAGATAGTGTGGCCCTTTGCACCGGTGTATAATACTTCTGTGTGAAGGAGGCCTTACAGTAGCAATGAAGTCACTGGATTAGCATGACAAACAGGCAGCTTGCATTTTCGAAAGAAGAGGTCAGCAGTGCCTGCCTACACATTGCTCTCTGCGTAGGTTTCCTCTAGGGCAGTGGTCGGCAAGCCGCAGCTCGCGAGCCACATGCGGGCTCTTTACAAACTTCAATGTGGCTCTTCTGTGTGCCGGGCGCCCGCTCCCCCTCCTCTCTCGGGCGGCCCTCCCAAAAGTCAGGACTCTGCAGCTGTCAGGATATAGGCGGGGCAGCCAGGATGTAGGCGGGGCAGTGTGACGAACTCCTCTCCTCTCACAGTCCGCCCTGAAGACCAGAACGGCGTGGGAACACGGCGAGAGGAACGCACGGAGCAAAGGTAAGTGAATTGACACAGGGGGGACTTACTATATGGGGGATGAATTACTATATGGGGGACTTACTATATGGGGGATAAATTACTATATGGGGGATGAATTACTATATGGGGGGGACTTACTATATGGGGGATGAATTACTATATGGGGGATGAATTACTATGGGGGATGAACTACTATAGGGGGGATGAATTACTATAGGGGGGATGAATTACTAGGGGGGATGAATTACTATATGGGAGATGTATTTTCAGTTTTAAAAATGTGGCTCTCAAAATAAATTTCAATCGTGGTTTTTGGCGAGATTTGGCTCAGTTGAAAAAAAAAGGTTGCCCACCACTGCTCTAGGGCATATCTCAGGGGAAAAAACTTTTTGGTTTTCAATAAAGTGGGGAAGGATTAAAATTTCTTTCAAAATTTCTGTTTTCCTGCTAGGTCGACTTACCCTCACTATTTCCCATGTCACAGAGACAGAAAATGATAGAAAAACCAATGTTTTACAATTGTCATCAGAACAGGAAGTGAGTACAAATCAACTGTGGCAGACGGTCCAGGGACAACTAGGAGGGGATTTTTCTCTCGCTTTTTAGATATTTCCTCTCACTTATGTTGCTTTTTTTTTGAAAAGCAAATGAAAGAAAATCTACCCAAAGGAATTTAAACAGCAAAAATAAAATGAAAGTTGTTTTAACTTTTTCTCACTCTGTTCAGTTCAAAAACTGAAAAAAAAGTTTTATACACTTGAACATTTGCTAAAGTTCACCTTGGTTAAACTAAATTGGAAAAATATCCACACCTCTCTCAACCAATGCAATGAAGACTTGATAATAGATAATTGCTCTACTTTGAACCTATGTTTTGGTCTGATCCCGGCTAAATCTTCAATGTCTGCACCTTATCATCTTGAGGGTTTGTTATTTGGTCTGGATCTCCTCTCTCAGCACACAAGGCTCTGCATAAAAGCATTTTCACAACGTTGCTATAGGAAGTGTGGCTTTACTTTTTCCTCTCCAGGAAATGTCTACCTAAAAATACCCTGACTGCAGTTTAGTGATCAGCTTTGTTTTAACAAGGGACACTGTCAAGACAAGAGTCCTGCAAGTGTGGCTCTGCTCAGCAGCCTTCTGACACTTTGGAGGTTTGCTTCAAGATTAGCAGAACAGGAAGGAGAGCAAAGTGTTTATCAGCAGGATGCTAGAGTCACTGGCAAGAGAGTCACCATATACCACCAAATTCCACATACCATTCACTGCTAAATGCTGTGTGGCAGCTAGAGGGAGCCAGAGAGCTACTTAACATTATTGTGTTGGCGCTGATTAGACTGACTGCTAGAAGAGACAGAGGCATTGTGTGCCGTCTGCACCCTAAACTTCAAGCGGGCAGGGCCCTTCTCACATTCTATTCTTGAATTGAACTGTACTGCCTCCCTGCATTTTGTAAAGCACTGTGCTATATAAATCCTGTATTATAATAATATAAAAATGCAACCATAATCATAATACTGTACTATGCTTTTTTGCAGATAAAATATGAAAGCATGCACTGCAATTAATATATTTTTACATTTATGCTTTTTATTTATTATTATTATACAGGATTTATATAGCACCAACAGTTTGCGCAGCGCTTTACAATATAACGAGGAACAATACAATTCAATACAAGAGGGTTAGGAGGGTTTTTAAGCTGTGTATATAGATGAGAACATTTGTCTGTGCAGATTTGACAAAATCTGGCACATGCATTTTTATCAACGGGGGGGATGCTATTATTTCTACTAAAAATAAAATTAAAAATTAAAAAAAAAACCTCTCAATTTAAAAAAAAAAAAAAAAAAAGCCATATCTCTGCATGTGTCCCACAACCATAGGGAAGAGGAGTCTCTTCCAAAACCGGTTTGGGAATTGTTTTTGGTGGCTAATAGCTTACTTCCAGTGTGATAAGGGAAGAAAATCATGCCTATTGATGGTTTGACAACTCGATGTTTCATGGAATAATACAGTAGGGGGTTATTTACTATAACTATTTACTAAAACTGGAGAATGCAAAATCTGGTGCCGCTTTGTAAAGAAACCAATCAGCTTCAAGGTTTTATTTCCAAAGCTTTAACAAGCTGAAGATAGATGCTGATTGGCTACCATGCAGAGCTGCACTAGATTCTGAGTGTTCCACTTTTAGTAAATCAGCCCCAGTGTGTCAAAACCCTTGTGTGGCCTTTGTCAATAACACAAGTTGCTGTGCTAAACCTTTGTCTCAGTTTAGTGCTGTCTTTGTATGTCCCAATGTTGGTACTCCCATCAATTACTGTAAACCCATACTTACAGCGGAGTTCCACCCAAAAGTGGAAGCTCCGCTTGTTTGCCTCCCCCCCTCCACTCCCATATTTGGCACCTTTTGGGGGGGTACCTGGTTTTGACAGGTACCTGATCCCACTTCTGGCTCAGTTCGCCACAACAAAGTGAGTGGGAAGTTCGACCCCCTCCTTCCTCCTGAAGTCTCCTGGGATCTTTCACAGGTCCCAGAAGACTGCCGGACCAATCAGGAGGTGCAGCGCAACTGACGCATGCGCAGTGGGCACCAAGCGGTGAAGCCACAAGCTGTCACAGCCTGGTGCCCACAGTTGAGATGCCGACGCCGTGGAGGAGAGAAGGGACGGTGCGAGTGAGAACATTGCTGGACCCTGGGATAGGTGAGTGTGTGTTTAAGAACAGTCCACAGCTACAGTTTTTGCAGCTGCTGACTTTTAAAAAAAAAAAAAACAAAAAACGGTTGGAACTCTACTTTAAAGAGGTTGTCTTTACATGTATTTGCAGGTGCATGTAATTAGGACCTCTACTTGAATTCTCCATTAAAAAAAAAAAATTCTAAATGAAGTTTAGTAACTCAGGCCTGAGCACTTGAAACTTTATCAGCTGGAAAAAAAAAAATGTTGTTAGAGAAAAAAGACATAGATAAAGGGAATAAAACTGAAGGCTACCACTGAATATGTGTGAAACTACAACTCCAGGCAAAGAGCTAACTATGTGATGAGAGACGTGACCTGATCTCTCGGCCAAAATATTTGTAATTCTGTTCAGTCCCTCATACACACACCCCTGCCACACTACATAGCCAGAGGGTGACCCTGTTGGT